CCAGCAGCGGCCCGGCCCCCAGGCGGCCCATGGTGCGCTCCACAAGAGCGGCCCGCCCTGACGCTCCCCTCCGGCCTCCGTAGCCAAGCCCTCCCACCGCCAGGGACGCTGGGAATCGTAGTTCCCGCGCACCTTCCCGCCCACAGAATGCTGTCCGCTTCTCGGTGGCGATAATCAGCTTTATTTTATTTCATTTTTTATTGTATAAGAGGAGTGACCAAGAGGTTCCCCCTCTCATTTTCTCTGGCGCGTGCCTCCCCGCTGGGGCTGTCCGGCCGGGTGCTGGGCCTGGTTCTGGGAGCAGGGAACCCGTTAAGCGCTCTCACTGGGCACGTCCGGCAGTGGCTCGCCTGATTCAACCTGCTCTTGCCCCTCCGCAGGGAAGGCCGGAGTGATGGGCTCGAGGCTTGACTCCTCGGCTGGGAGTTCTGGGGCTGCAGCTGGAGCTGTGAGCTCCGGCCCTGGCTCCCTCTCCTCTAGACAGAAGACCATCTCTTTCTTCGGCAGGATAAAGGCGAGAGGCTCCTGGACGATACTGATGTTGACATGCCCAAGGTTTCCGTACTTGGAGAGCTGAGTGGGTGGAATGCCTGACCCCGATGGTAGGCAAAGTAAAATGGAAAAAAACGTTTAATAAATGTGAATACTGACATGTCACATGAAGTAACAGTCACAGTTACCATATTTCAATATAGTGAGCCATTTTGTGACATGGGAGACGAAGCTATACTGTAAAGCCAGGCTTTGAAGGTAACCTGGCAAGCACAGCAGGGCGGATGGAGTGAGGGTCAAGAGAACCTCAGTAAGCAAGCACTGGCTTCCCTGCACAGGCCCAAGAGAAAAGCTGGGGGGAAAGTGGCCGGCAGCCACTGTTGCCTGGTGTGATTACTGGCCCATTGCCCTTTGGGAAGTTCTGCCTCCCCCATCCCCCGCACACCATCCCAGGGGCAGAGAGAGTGGGTACAGGGAAGTGAAGGCAAATTGGAAAATCATACAATATCTGGTTCTTTTGTGATTATAGCTTCTTCCACTTAGCCAGCTATATACATTGTGTGATTCCATTTATATGAAATGTTCAGAAAGGCAAATCCGTTGCATCAGAAAGTATATTAGTGGTTGCCAGGGGCTAAGAGTGGGTCTGGGGAATGACTGCATTGGGCATGAGGGATCTTTCTGGGGTGATGGAAATGTTCTAAAATTGAATGGTGGTAATGGTTGTACACTTCTGTACATTCACTAAAACACAATGAATTTTAGAAATAGGTGAATGAATTAGTATGTGAATAAGATCAACCAAATAGTTTTAAAAATATTTTCTCCTTTCTCTTACCTAATGTCTGTGCTATCTGAGCTGGTGGAAAAAGGACTTGGAGACAGCGATTTAAATAAGGAACGAGGTCCTCCAGGAAGACAGTGCAGAACTGGATGAAAAGCTCTCGCTCCCCATTGGTGAAGGCAGCCTCTTCAGCACGATGGAAGCCCAGGATGACTCTGGTTACCTAGGAGACAAAGGCACCAGCAATCACTGCAGTAGTCTATCACACCATCTATGAGTAGTCTGTCACCATCAGCAGTGCATGAAACAGCACAAACGTGCAGCCCTCAAGTTTTCATGAAGAAAGCTGTTCTAAACAGTACATTATAGTACTGTTTTGTTTAAAGTCAGAATTGTAATCACTTGTCACAATTCTGTCATTTCATTGATGTCTTTCTGACCCAACTTGTTTCATTATAGTTGCTTGTTCCAGTGGAAGAAGAATAAATGGTTCTTGACTCCCATGGGAGACTGTCCAGAACTATGTTGGATCCAGGAAAATGAAGGAAACATTACAGAAGGGTTTTACTGAGTAAAGCCAGGAAGCTAGGTCACTAGAAAATTGTAAAGGAAGAAGGAAACAGAGCTGGAAAGGAAGTTCCAAATACAAAGAACAGAGCAGCCTACCCGGCATTAAAGACAGGTGTCATGCTAACAGGATTAAGACTCTGCTGCTAGATGTCCTGGTTCAAGTCCTAGCTATGCCACTTACTGGTTCTGTGACTTCCAACTTACCTGGTAAGCCCTCCATACCATCTCTGTGCCTCAGTTTCCTCAACAACAGGACCTATCTCATAGAGTTTTGAGGATCAAATCTTAATATGTGTAAAGTATGATGAATGCTGTTTGGCATGGGGTAAGTTCTATACAAACATTAGCTAATTATTATTACTTGAATTTCACTGACTCTAAATGCGCTAGCCGGTGTGGCTCAGTAGGTTGGATCGTCATCCCTTACACTGAAAGGTGGCAGATTTGATTCCAATCAGGGCATATCCCCAGGTTTCGAGTTCAATCCCTGGTCGGGGCGTGTATAGGAGACAACTGATCGATGTTTCTCTCTCACATCGATGTTTCTCTTTCTCAAAAAAAAAAAAAAAAAAAGTGCGGCATAGTAGGATATTACAGTAGTAATAGCATTACTTGTGTTAGGCAGAATTCTAAAATAGCTTGTGTCATTTCTATCCCCTTGTACCCACTTCTTTGTGTAATCCCCTCCCCTTAGTTGCAGGCAGAATCTGTGGCTTGTTTCTAACCAATAGCAAATAGCTAAGCTGGGTAGAGCAGGGTATGGGGGGGGGGAAATGGTGATGGAAGGAGTCTTAACTTGGGGTGGAGCACACACACACAGTATACAGATAATGTGTTGTGGAACTGTGCACCTAAAGCCTGTATAATTTTGTTATCCAGTCTCACCCCAATAAATTCAATTAAAAGAAAAAGAATATGGCCAAGGTGAAGGATTTTGCAGTTGTAATTAGACACTAATCAAGTGACTGAACTAATCAAAAGTGGGCCTGATTTAATCAAACGAGCCTTTTAAGAGAGGGCTGATGACTTCCCTAAGAGATCTGTGCAGGAGATACTCTTCCATTGGCCTTGAAGAATCAAAAAGCCACGTATGAACTGCCTATGGAACGGGACGGCCTCTAGGAGCTGAGGGCCTCAGTCCCTTAACTGTAAGGAACAGAAATCTGCCAAGTGAGTGCGTTTGAAAGGGGAGCCCAAGCTCCAGATGAGACCACAGCCTGGCCGACACCTTGATTGCAACCTTGTGAGATTTTGAGCAGAGGACCCACTTGTACTGCGCCTGGACTCCTGCTGCACAGAAACTGGGAGATGATAAATGTGTGTGGGAGTTCGTTATTCAGCAATAGAAAACGAATACATTACGGAATCGTTACTACAGGTGAGCCACTTCATGGGTTGTTTTAGGTTCCATGAAGGGGGACTAACCGGCTAAGAGCTGCTTAGCCATTATAAACCTCCAAAGCCACACTAACCCTCTCCAAGTCAGCAGTCACCACTGTCACATGGACTGGCTTATTACCAAAGTCTGGCCTTCTGTAACCAAAGAAGGTTCCAATAGAGCCCAACAGTATGTGCTCACCTTAGCAAGGGCGTCCTCCAGGACCCCAGTCACATCCTGCGCCAGGGCTATGGGGCAGCAAAGGCGCAGATCATTGAAGGCGACCAGAATGTTGTTGAGGAAGCAGGCCAGGGGTGGGAAGTCCAAGAGCACCATGGGCGGCTGCAGGGTCCCTGGCTGAGTCACTGGCACAGCAGCAGGTAGGTTACTGCTGCCCAAAATGGCTGGAGCCAAGATGAGGGTGTAGGAGTTCATTTCATCTTGGAACTTCTCCACCGCCTCCTGAATTGCTTTCTGGAAAGTGCTGATAGCTACCTGCTGGAAAACGGGAGCCAACTGGCCCCGGAAATCAGCGCCCACCCGGCTGAAGGACAGCCCAAAGTACATGCACTGGCCCAGCAGAGAGTCCAGGCGGCCGCCTATCCCTCGGTGAAGGTCGGTTTCCAGCACCTGCAGGAACTGGGAGACTTTCTGCAGGACCCAGCCATGGAAGATAGCACTCTCATTCACGGTGTGCTCCCCCATGGCCGGGGACAGCAGTGGGTCCTCGTCTGAGAAGATTGCACGGTACTGAGTGATGATATCAAACAGATGGACCCGGCAGGCCTCGATGGTTTTTGTGATGTGGAAATAGGGGTCATCGTTGGGGATGGCAGTCAGGATGGAGCGGAGCCAAGCATCTCGGGCCTGAAGAAACTTCACCCTCAACTCAGCCTCAGTGAAGATGTCCATGCGCCTCAGGAAGCCAATGACACGGAGGCAGGCAGGGAGCTGGATGTTGGTCCTCAGTTGCTGGATCAGCTGGCTCAGCATCAGCTGCATGGACTGGCGCACTTCGTTCACAATGCCCTGGCAATAGAGGGTGAGTCACACCGCGCTCGGAAAGACACTCCCTGGAACCCATTCCACGAACCCTGAATATTACAGACCAGCATTCCCCCCGCTTTCCTAACACATGAAGTACATTTCTTAAAACTAACACATTTTGGGTCACTGTGGCCCTGCTTCTCCTACCTCACCGGCTTCCTCATGCTCTCCCCTTGCTCACTGCAGTCCAGTCCCACTGGCTGTCTTTGTATTTCTTTTTTAAATAAATTTTTATTGATTTCAGAGAGGAAGGAAGAGGGAGAGACAGAAATATCAATGATGAGAATCATCAATCGATTGGCTGCTTCTTACATGCCCCCCACCAGGGACCAAGCCCACAACCTGGGCATGTGTTCTGACCAAGAATCAAACTGTGACCTCCTGGTTCATAAGTCAATACTCAACCACTGAGCCACCCTGGCTGGGCTGTCTCTGTATTTTTTAACACTCCAGCTTCCCTCCTCTGCCTGCTGTACTTGTTCTTTCCACTTTCTGGTTTGCTCTCTCCCCTCACATCTACGTGTGGCTGGGTCCTTTTTATCATCTGGGTCTGAGCTTACATGTTCTCTCTCCGGAAGAGCCTTTCCTGACCACTCTCCCTAGAGTAACTCACCCTGGTCTCCTTCCATCCCATCCCCTGGTTTTTCTCCAGACAATCACTATCTGAAAGGATCATATTGTTTATCTGTTCATTTGCCAACTATCAGCTTACACTCATGAGAGCCAGGGCCTTGTTTGCTTTGTTCACATTGCAAAGCCAGCACCTAGATCAGTGAGTGCCTGGCACACAGATTCACACTTCTCAGTTGAATCAATGGATGAATGAATGTTCATGTTCAAGCCTGGCTGGCTGGCAGCAACTGATGTGAACCATGTGAAGCGTTTCTGCCTAAAGGTTCAGTGATGACCACAGAATTACTGACGACAAGAACATCAGTGTGAGTCCCCTCTGGGGAGGCTGGCTACCTGGATGACAGGGATGGAGGAGTATTTCTTTTCCAGTCGGCGAACGTAGGCTGCAAGCTCCAGGGCCTCTTCGTAATAGCTGTTTCGGACACAGGTATCCATGAGCTGAGGAATCTCTAAGATTTCCAGGATTTCCGTGTGCCGGTTCAGAGTCAGGGTGTTCATCCGGCGGTTGGAGCTGATCTCCTCAGCCTCTTTCACAAAGTTCCTAGTACAATCAGGAGAACGTTGGTTGCTCACTGCTCCGCACCCAAACCTTAATTGTAATTAGTCAGCATTTACTGTGAACTGGGCACTAGGCTGGCTGACTTGATTTAATCTTCAAACCAAATTATAAGGCAAGTTCCCTTGAGGAAACTTTAATCTCAGGTTAAGCAACTTGTCCAAGATCACACAACTAACAAATGGGAAAGATTTGAACCCAGATCTGCCACTTAACTAGCTGTGGCAGGGTAGTCAGGCTTTCATAACTGTTTCCTCATTGGTAAAATAATAAGGATGTAAGGATTAAATGAGATGCTGTGTGTAAAGTACTTGACACAGAACCTGACTCAGACTAAATGTTCCTTTAATAACAGCTCAGTCTGTTCCTATGCTGTTGTTAACCTTAGTTCCCACCAGTTGCCATTTCTTCTGCGTAATGGCAGACATCTGTTCCACGAAGTCCCCTCTCTATTCTGGGTGGGTACAAGAGCTATTGTCAATTAGCCAAAGAGTCAAAAGAACACTTAAAAACGTTTATCATGAAAGGCTGGAAGGCAGAATTAGGGATAATGGACTGAGGGTCTAAGGAAGCAGATGACTCAAAAAGAAGGAATTAAAAAAAAAAAATTGGCCAACCCCAAATGGTAGGATTTCCTTGTCAGTTTCCTATCAATGAAAGTTTTGGAGCAGAAGACTTCTGGTCCTATGTGTTGTGTCTATATATGTTTAGGTATATTTACATAAATATGCTTACCTAGTAAGCTGCCAAGTGTTGATAGTTAAGTATGTCAGGCCCAAGTCTTACTGCTTTGCATGGATTCTCTTTATTTGTTGCTCGCACCACCCTCTGAGGGAGGGACGTGCAGCGGGTTCCCATTTTGATCAGGACACGTAACAGCTGGGCCCTGGGACGAGCACTGACCTCTCCGTGTCTCAACTTCCTCAGACATAAAATGGGAAAAACAGTACCTACCTCGGAGACTGTTGTGGATTTTAAATGGATTAATCAAGTGCTCCGAGAGCCTGGGACAGGGTAAGCGCTACCTAAGTGTTTGCTATCTCATCAAGGCAAATGTCACTATGGCCGTCGTTTCAAAGCCCCTTCGGCACCGGCCCACCGCACCTGCAGCTCTGCTGGAAGCTGGGCAGGCGGTCGAGCAGGCGGCCGACCGACGTCTCCACGTCGCCAAACAGGCGGTGGATGCGCTCGGTGCACTCGGCGCCGCGGATGAAGGTCTTGTAGTCCCACGTCGGGCCGTTCCCGCCACTGGGCCTCGGGGAAGCGATCCCGGAACAGCGACGCCAGGAGCCCTTCATCCTCCACGTCCCCGAGAGCCGCTGCGGTGGCCGTGGAGGAAGCCGAAGCGGAGGACGGGATTACCTCCATCGTCGCCATCTTCCCGGCAGCAGCGTCACTTCCCCTTCCGGCCCAGAGAGGGCGCTGGCTCCGAGTCTAGGACCGGAAGCCACAGAGGTGCACTTCCCGTCTCGATGGTTTCTGATTCGGCGGTGCTGGCGTGGGGAACCAATGGAGAGCGGGCTTTGGGGTTGCCAGGGAGAGCGAGAGAGGCTGGCGGCTGACTTCCTCTTCCGGCGACTGGGGCACGAGGATCCGGTGTCCCAACAGCGGGAAAATGCGGCCTTTGACTGAAGAGGAGACCCGTGTCATGTTTGAGAAGATAGCAAAATAGTAAGAGCGCGGGGGGCGGAAGAGGGAGAGTGTGTGGCAGGAAGGGGCGGGGGCGGAGGGCGGGGCCGGGCGGCCCGGCCTCCAGGCCTCCTCTTGCCCACAGCATCGGGGAGAACCTTCAGCTGCTGGTCGATAGGCCCGACGGCACCTACTGCTTCAGGCTGCACAACGACCGGGTGTACTACGTGAGGTGAGAGGGGCCGGGCGGGCGGCATGGAGCCGGGTGGGGGCCTGGGTCCCACCTGCGCCCTTACATGACACCTGTCTTCCTTACCCTTTCAGTGAAAAGATCTTGAAGTTGGCCGCCAACATCTCCGGTGACAAGCTGGTGTCGCTGGGGACCTGCTTCGGGAAATTCACCAAGACCCACAAATTCCGGTTGCACATCACAGCTCTGGATTACCTTGC